TACACGAGAGATGAGATACTCTCTGTCGGGAAAGTAGTGGAGACTGCGGATCGGCTGGTGGTGGAAGTGTAGAAAGTTGAGGGCTTCTGAAGAGTTTCTGATGTCCCAGTAACCTATCACACCGTCAGCGGAGCCCGAAACAAACTGGTAGTCGCCCACGAAACAAACCTTGGAGATGGCGTTTCTGTGAGGTTTATCCACGACATGGACCAGACTGCGGGACCCGAGGTTAGGATCCAGGACAAAGAGAGTGTTACTGGAGCTGCTGGCTACCAGTAGGCGACCGGACGGCGAGAAGTCGAGGTCGGATATGAAACCACAGTCGTTGGTGTCCCCGAGTGAGGAACCTTCCATGGGCACAGCCACGTCTTTGGGATACCACCCGCGAGAGTCCCACTCCTTGTGAAGACACATACGAGGAAATAAACTGCACGAGAAACGCCATTCCGAGTAGAAAGTGGTTTCGGACTCAGAACCCAGACCGCTAAATTGGCGGGCAGCCTGTGAGTGGACGATCGTCATGAGCAATGATGTGACTCACCAACTGAGCCGGTAGCCGCAGCTGCACAACTCACGCACGCGCAGTGTCTGAATGGATAACGGTTGAGGCGTAGAGCAAGCTGCTGGCCTCTGAAGGAGTCTCGGATGCGCCAGTAACCTCCAGCCACACTAGGCCCACGAAACAAACCTTGATGTAGCTGGGGTTGGGATGGAGTTAGGTGGCGTCCCCCACCACACAGCGTCCTTTGGGATAGCGCTCGCCGAGAGTCAGTCTCACTCTTTGGGAACAAACATGATGCGAGGAAACAGGAGATGCCGTCCAGAATCTAATCTACACGCTCACACACTCCAGTGCACGGCCGGAAGGGGAGCGTGCAGCGCATATGGGTGGGCCGGGCATGGGGGAACGCTCGCGCATGCGCATAATCAAAATCACACGAGCAGTACTAGGTAGGTGTAGGTGTAGGTGTAGGTGTAGGTGTAGGTGTAGGTGTGTAGGTAGGTAGGTGTGTAGGTAGGTAGGTACGTACGTAGGTACAGACGTACACGTGCAAACTCTCGGCGCACTGCGCATGCGCGGTATCACTGTTGGATCCACCTCTACAGTACAGAGAGAGATCGTTGAGTTTATTCACAACCTGCACGCTGAACGTCTTCGCCATCAACTTGCCCTCACTCAATCGCCTACCCCATAGGCTACTCTCCTTCAGTGGAGGTTATAAAGAAGAGGTCTCCACGCTAGTAGCTCGCAGAGAGTCTGACACGGGCTAGCTACATTAGTAGCATGCACGAGTTGATACACGCCCTTCAGTTCGCGGTAAGCGATTATGCATTTCGCTGGTTTTCACGGCATATCTCTCGAACGCAAGCGTTTCAGGGAAATCGCCGTTTTACTTTTCAGGCTCGCGTAGTTCTAAAGCCGCTAGTAAGCCGCCTCGTAGCCGGAATAAGCGTCGACACACACAGACTCACTACAGTAGCCCTCGCTGCGCAATTGTATTTACCTAGTAGATGGTCAAGCAGTGAGATGGTGGTCATGTCACCTGGGTAGTAGCTAATGAACCAAGGAGATGTAGACCTCATGTTGTATATTATAGTTATGGTGCTTGAGGCAAGTGATTATTCCTACACCTGTTTTGATTGTTTTAGGCTGCAGAGAAGCATGTTAAGAGCATGCTATCAGCACCTATTATAGAGTGAGGACCACTGCTTCGAGCAGAGGCATGCTTTTATTATAGCTAGTATACCCACTACTTACTGCACATTGTGTCTGTGTCCCTATAATGTTTTATCTACCATGCATTTTGGATAGCTGTGCCTAATATGTCAGCCTATATAGCTACCCATGAACTTATGATTAGCGTAATATTATTACAGCTCTCATGCTGGCCAGATTGAATCTAATAACAAATTATATATATTATAATCGTAACTCACAAAGAAAAAAACTTGCAGTATCACCATCAGGTGATTTGATGTTGTAAGATTCACATAATAAACTTGCTGCACTTATGTTTTGGGGTATAGATACTTGGAGTTGGCAGAACTGTTTGGTATAGGTTTTAACATGAAAAATGAAAATGAAAATCGTATAGAAGGTATAATTTTCACATATCATAATCATTAGGCTTGGTATCTTGGCTAGTATTTCTGTCAGTGTTCCAGCAGAAACGTCGGTGACACTTGCACAGAATGACACATATCAGAACCATAGCAGAGAGGAGGATGGCTCCACTGACAACATACAACCCCACTGTGATTCCCATGCAGCTGCTGCAAGTGTCCTGACCCAGGAGCCCGCACTCTGACCCAGTCAGACACAGGGGAAAGTCAGGGTCCACCTCACAGAGTGTCCCGTTGAGAGAAACGAGCGAACCACTGTTCTTCCACCCGAGAAACGAGTAGAGTGTAGTTTCTGAATGTTCGGTGGTAGAACAGTCTTGGAGAGTCCCAATAACTGACACTCTGTCTCCGTCACACGTCACAGAGGAAATGTCGATGCACTCGTTTTTCGTGTCCGGAGCACTGGTCACGGAGCGAGACAGGGTCTGGCCCAAGTCTGTTTTGATCCGCGATGTGTCTTTGTCTGTCCAAAGAGAGCACACCAGGGACCCGCGCGGTCTCAGACTCAACTGAAACTCGGTTACAGGTATCTGGTGGGTGTCTGGCCCAGCTTTGAGGTACACTGAGTAAGAGGCATTCTCCACCTCTCTACCCAGGACCAGGCTGTCTAGCACCACCTCACATTTGACTCCAACCTCACACGACCGGTTAAACGGAGTGTCCAGCATCAACTCGGCTTTCACCACACCATCGCTGTGTGTTCTAGTCTCACTGGTCAAACCACAGAGGGATAATTCATCCAGTGGGGTCCACTGTACTCTGGGTGCTGGCCAGCCATACCCACTACAAGTCAAGAGTGTCCCTATGAAATTTTCCGGGACTTCAAATAAAGTTTCAGAGTTTTTCTTGGCTGGCAGCAGGTTGATTCCTTTACCAGGAGTGATGCTATCAATGACAGGTTTATCTGTGGGTGTATAGAAGAGGGGCAACAATATTCAAACCAGGCATGCCATGCCATGGGGAAATAGTTAAGCAATTGGCCTGGCATTTACCACTGGCACCCACCATGGTATATAGCATAAAAATTTTAATTGATGATGACTGAGGAACTCTTTAGTCCACTATAATACTAACGAGGAGGTAATTATAGATTATCCAGCTAAAGGATCCCAATTGGATACTTGTTACTCAATCAGACATATGATACAATAGTTGAAATTCTCACAGCAGGGTTCTATAGCTACATACAAGTGTAGAAATATTAAAACGATGGGGGATATAGGGATTGCTCAAAACATGAAAAAAAGAAACAAGGGGTTAATACACAGCTAATGCTTGTTGTATATGACTCAATAGAACAAAGATATAGGGATGGTATCATGTAGCTCTAATTTGTGCATTTGCTTCCTAAAAACCTTTGTTTCTTCCTTCTCGGTGCTTTGAGCCATCCCTATATCCCCCTTCACTCCACTTGCACATAATTTATACTCACGGATGACGGTGAGATGGACGGAGGCCCTGCTCTCTCCCCAGGGATTGCTGGCCACACACTGGTAGAGACCAGAGTCAGCCGGCTCCACTGGCTCCTCCCACACCAGACTCAGCTCGCTCCGGGTCAGCTCATACGTGTAGTGTATGCTGCTGGGAGTCGAATGGGAGTGCTGCAGGAAATTATCATTACCAACTATAAAGCGACTATTTGTAGCGAAGATGGCCAATCTAGTACACTCAAAATGACTAATTGGAGTGAAGCGAGCTCACCTAGTGGTTTGAATTGCACAATTCTTCTGTATTATTATTTGTGCATAGACGGCGATGTAATAACTACAATTACGGCAAATTTTACACTCACTTGCATTGTGTTAGTTCTTGCAACACGAGTTTAGTTGTAGGCATAAGGCAGGCCAGAGCATAATTATTATGAAATGACTATATACATGCACCACATGTTCCTCAGCAAAGGTGGGGCAAACATCCACATGCTATCCACATGTAGGTTGTGCAACAAAATGATCTCTTACAGAAATGTCCCAGGATAAGGATGGAGTGGGACGTCCGTCAGCAGAGCATCTGAATATGGGCTTTGTTTTCTCTCCACTAAACAGGACCACAGAGTGGGTCGAGGAGCTGGCACTGTTGTAGGTCACCCTCACCACTGGAGGCCCTACTGCTTCAACTAAAATATTAACAATGATAACACCTTACAGAAGACTAGATACTAGAAGGTGAATGCAGGGCATTTTTGGTGAGTGGGAGCGAGCACAATGACTGTATCTGCACGAGCTATCCTAGAACTTGGACCTTTGAACCACAAACACGGAAAGAGGTACAGCCACCAAAGAGTGCAGCGAATGCCGTCAAATGGACAGGAATTCTCTGACTGGCTATATAGATCGCACATGGAGGACCGAGAGCTAGCTAGCTAAGGCACCGTGCAAAAGATTGAAATCTGCGCACTGTATATATACGACCAAGAAATCATTTTATAAAAAGAAGCGTGACGTACAGTGACATATAAAAATAGAAAAATTGCGTCGTTCGGACTACTATATAGGTTAGCTCGCTCCCACTCGCCGATAAAATTATAAACAGAGACTAGGAAAATATGTGGTAACAGGCGGACAGACAGACAGAGAACCAAGTGCTGCGCATTGAGGGTTCTGCAAACGAGACATAATTAGGAAAGTGCAGGTGTGGTATAATTAAAACTGAAAAGTGGGGGGACGTGCTCAATAATTATTGGCCGCGTGTCACACCCATCTACATACTAGTGCCAAAAACCAAACATGAAAGCTGGGAGGGCTTGGCCGCCTCTCTTTGGTGGGCTACCTAGACCTATCCTCTACCCCCTGTCTCTGAATTCATCACGCGACCATTTACAAGTGGCTAGCTATATGAATTACATTGAATAATGTCGTATAGCATAATGTTTTGTTGCATAACGTGTACACATCAAAATAAAATATGTAGCTCTGTACACGTATACCACATTAGGAGGTTTGATGGTCTCACCAGTGACTAGAGGTTGACCTCATCAGATTGACTGAATATGCCATGTCATAGAGTGTGTTGCTGACCACACAGTAATAGACACCAGTATCCTCACTGCGGGCTTCCACCAGGACCAGTCTACTGGACACTATCTCTCCTCTCTGCAATTTTGCAGGTCAAAGTTTGCTGTATACTGTACTTCTTAACAAAAAGTTCAGCAGAATGGATTAGCATAAGGAGCACCGGAGACCTAACAAAACGGCTTATAGTTCTATAATATAGTGTAAGCAATGTTAGAGTGAAAGTGATAATTCCACCTGGACTGGATTCTACTGAGCATGCCAATATAGTGCTGACACTGGTTCATTCAACTGGCTGCAATGAATACATGAAGCTGAGCTGACAGACCCATAGTGTGTGAATGGGAGCACTCATGCATGTGTTTGCAGCTCTTTTAGCTCAAAGGTCCACTTGTGGAACAAGAATACAATGATTTGCCAATGTCTCAGAGCAATTTGCACCCTTCACTTGCATAAAGGTATCCATGCATGGGGAATTGGATACCCTACCACACTTTGTATATGTAACGTAAAATCTCTAATATATACTGCTGTTCCTAAGGGTTTAAGTGTCAAAAATGTACACAAAGTGCAATACCTCTTCATTGCTGCTGATGTTAGCATTTTGAAAGAGTGTACGGTGACTGGGAACTATAATTTCGGGAGGAGTCCCTGCTCGTTTCCAGGTAATAATTGGTGTTGGAGAGCCAGTTGCAGTGCACGAGAGAGTGGCATTCTGGCCCTCAACAACAGCCACAGGCGATGGCTGCTCCAATATGGCAGCTGGAACTGCAGAAAAACAGGTCCCCCACTAACATACTCATGTGTCCGCTAATGGTTCTATGAGTGGGCAATTCGTATACATGAGTGGGCAGGTCCTTGCATGTACTTGCCACATCAACAGTTTTGAATTCAACTTACTGAATAGTCTCAAATGAATAGAAGCGGATCTAGTTGTGGGGGAATTACTGATCTGCTCAACTGTGCACACGTACTCCCCGGCATTATCAGTAGTCACATTGGTCAGGAGCAGGCTGCTCCCTGTGGACTGATACTCTATGCTGGTGTCGTTCACACTCAGGTCTCCTCTGTTTGGTAAAGACCACGTGATGTGTAGGGTAGTCTCTGGTGGTAGGAAGGTCGAGATGTGGACAGAGAGGGTCACTGTCTGGTTTATCACTGCCGCGACAGTCTCCTGGTCGGCAATAATAGCTGGACTCTCTGCAATCACATTGGAGTATGGTATACTCATTGCTATGTTAGCATTAGTTTTAATCATGCCCTATCAGAGCATATCTCAATTATTACTTGTTGTAGTACTGTATTACAATTTCACGGTTTAGTGGTTAGAGACGTCAACAAGACTGACCGCTGGTCAGTAGGATGACCGAGCTTTCTCCGGTGTCTCTGTGCCAGCAGCGGTAGTTCCCAAGGTTCTCCTGTCGTAACTGGGCCCCGCCCACTATCAACCGGCTACTCCCCGATGGGAGTCGAGCCACGTCAAACGGGTTTCGCTCGCCTCCGACTCTCTCCCAGGTGAGTCTGGTCGAGGTCGTGGGTTCCCCGGTGGCGCCGCAGTCGAACCAGTAGCCAGCCAGGTCAGAGTCCAGTTCCAGGGAGGCTACTCCTGCCACAGGCCAGGTGGGCTCTGAGTCAATGCCCACCCTCGTCTGCGTCAGGCTGATACGGCCCAGACTCACATGAACTGCAGAAATAAGAAATATCATACATTCTTTATTGCAGATTAGATAACCAAAGTATCAACTAAAAGCTAGTATGTGGTTGACAGGGTAGCAGCATAGTTATTGTACACGATTAATACACATAGCCTAACAATCGTTCTTTGAAAAATATTAGTGCTGACATTTCGACTACTCACTGCAGTCATCATCAGTGGTAATGTATCTGCAGATTACGGATAGGATTTTCAATATAACACAACTGCAAGATGGAGTAAGCTCCTTGCAAGGATGGGAAACCACATTCCAAAAGGCTAGAGTGTGTAGCACCCTTCTCAGCCTACATCCCCATGTTTGTACACATGAGCACGCCGGCCAAATAGCTTTTCCATTTGGGCATGTATGAGTGTGTAAATCAGCGTGTAGTATTATGGCTGATCAGCAGTAATTGTCGCAAGTAAAATCTGTAATTGCTGGGGTTAGTTGTAAAGTTAACGTGCACAGTTGCAGCTAATTGTGACTCTTTCTGCCACGTAGTCGCCGTGGAGTATAATACATCGCCAGCAAATGATAGGCTCATGCGGCAAAGAGCTAGCGAGCTAGTTCTTTGGCTAGCTACACTCACTTGCGGTCGTTAGTAACAAGACGTTGAGTCTAATCTGCAGCGGATGAAAATTGGAGATGAAGAACGACAGTAGCATGGTTCAATCAGTTCCAGATATTACTGGAGTCTTCTGCAAACAGGTCTTCAACCGTTTTTTCCAGCGGAGTACGTAATATCGCGTGACCGCGCATGCGCAGATACTAAAAATTGGTGTGCCCGGCCCGACATCATCAACATGGTTTGATAATCTTTACGCCTTGTATATACGATATTATCCATGATCGAACTTTGAAATTTGCAGCACAGCAATACGATCATCACAGCAGTCACTGAAACACACCTAAAATAAACACAACAATAAAGGAACGTGCAGGCAGAATTTGTGTTTTTGACGTTTAGCGTCTCTTGTTTCCAGAGCCAGCCATGAGGCTGAGGATGCGGATGAAGATATTGACAGTGTCCAGGTAGATGCCCATTGACCTGCACACACAATCATACATTGTTCCCAGGAACAATAAGAGTTGGTATGCACACAGAACAATACCTAATACTTTAGCTACTGCAAAAATTGATTGCTAATCAATTAATTCTTGGCATGACAAAGTCACAGACTCAAGTGTTCCATTCATGGCAATATTGCACAACTTTCCCTGGAGCCAAAATAGAGGAGACTCCACTTTGGAGTAATGCACAAATCTAGACGTTTACCTATAACTTTAGGCTATGTCTAACAGCATCCTTTTTCTTTTACCGTCTGAGTACTCATTGCAAAACTGCCTACATAATTATTATACATGACCAATAACTATAATATTATTATACCAAACATAGGGGCATAATAATTATGACCAATCACTACAAAGAGAGATTCGAAAAAAAATGGGGACTTGGTTGGCTCCCTGAATGCTGCTAACATGTTAACGGGGTCGTAGTGGTGGTCGTGCTCCGCGTGGTGGACTATCTTCTGAGTGTCGTAGAGAAGGAATCCCCCAAACAACACGAGTCCTCCGTACATGTAGACTGTGTGCAGTGCCGAGAATATTGCTCCTCCAGGTGCAGCAAACATCCCTCCTGCACATGCAACACAACAACAACTGTACGTATCACCCCATGCATTAAGGGTCTGTAAATGTGCCTCATGGTACTGTGGAAATACATAGGCACAATAGGGCAATATTAATTTTAGTAACATCTTCTAAATTAGCTCTCTTTGGCGAGTGGGGAGCGAGCTAACCTAGTGGTCCGAATGGCGTGATTTTTCTATATACACGTCGGATCGACCATTAACTGAGCATGCATCAGGATTACGCGCTTCTTTTTATCCGATATCATTTCCACAAGGGTTGGGTTGGTTGGTAGATAACTGGGCAAGTGGCCCCACACCCACAAGGGGTTGGGTTGGCTGGGAAAGTCTCACACACAAGCCGATCTGAAAAAGGCTGGAGTAAGCCACATTCAAACAACAGCAGTGTGTATAATACGAGTGAAGGGGCTAAAGCAGGATAAACCGTTTCATCCATCCCTACATTCTAAGAACGTATACTACTGTACTTTGTGTGTGCAGATGGTATGTAGGTAGTGGTTTTTAGATGAGCAAGAGGTCATTTGCACCTGGACACATTCTGCAGAGGGTTAGGCTTATCAAAAATGCGAGGAGAATGTGAACAAGGCTGTCTAGTCCATGGCTCCCTATCTCTAGAACAAAGGCCCTACAGCAAAGCTGTTTAATTCCTTGCATTAGAGCAACAAATCCACAAATAGACAGAGTTAGTATAAGGGATATATACAGTACAGTAGCAGGAGATAATGCGATTACAACAGTGCCTAGCAGATGGCTGGTTCACTTCTCTTGGTAAATGGAAGTATGTATGCAAGTATGGAGAAGCACAAGTCTCCCATCTGGAGTCAACTCTGGCATTGTAACTGGAGGCTGCCAGTGCCAGGTTCCCAGATGGGCACCAACCACTGCTATCAGTACTAATGGATGGAGAGGGTGCATTACCAGTGTAGCGACCCCAGAGTCTGACTCCCTACAGACTTACAGTGTTTGTATACTTCCTATCCAGGTCACTATACAAGTGTTGCTGAATTTAGCGGGAAACGCTTCGGGAGAAAATCTTTGTGCATTTTGCGGTTCATTAGGCGTCGGTGAAATTACATACGACTGTATGCTGAACTGTGAGATCAGCAATGTGGAAAGGTTTTCTCTGCGGTATTTGCTTTTGCCAAGGAAACACTGGCTCGAGCATTTCCCACTAATATGTACCAATGGAAGAGACAAAGACGACTCCAAGTCCAAGGGCTAGAGGACCGCCCCACTTGAGGTACTTGTCGCTGGGAGCACAGGCAGCAGTCAGACTGAGACCTCCCACTACTCCCGCCGTGTAGAGAGCTGCACGACCCACCAGGGGACCTGTGAGAGGGAGAGGAGGGGGAGGAGAGAGAGAGGGAGGAGTGGGGAGAGTGAGGGGGAGAGGAGAGGAGAGGAGAGGGAGGAGGAGGAGGAGAGGGGAAGAGTGAGGGGGAGGGGGAGAAGAGGAGGTACACAGGAAGGCTAAAGAAGAGCGAGTAAAAGATTCACATAGCCATAATTATACTGTACCTGCTAGGTGCAAAGTACACACGGCATTACATGACGATGTGATGCCGAGTGCACAGCCTACATCACCAGTTTCTTACGGAGGGAACAGTAATCTGAGATACTAGTAAGCATTGGAATCTACAACACTTCCTCAAGTTAATTGGATGCTAAACTGCAATTTATCAGGTAACCCCCCAGCATGCAGTGAGAAATGAGAGTATTCCTCTGGAGCCCACCCACCAGCAAAGGCGACGAGAGGTGCCATGGTGAGTCCCATGATGGAGGTGAAGAGGGTGAAGGCCCCGATCTTGGCAGGCAGAGTCTCTGGAGTGTAAGGGACTGAGTAGCAGAGGAGGGCTGATCCGATGGATCCCACACCAAACAGGAGCATCGACTGCAGGCCAGAGCAGGGACTAACAGGACTTGTACTGTATATGGGTATTCTTCTTTGGTGCAGAGTGCAAAGCGCGGGCACTAATAGCATTCTTCACCGGAAAACGTAAGATACAGCCAATTAATTATGTGTATACAGCGTGGGGACTTATAAGCTCTCTTCACCGGAACTCTTTTGTGTGATAGTCTAATGTAGCCTTGAACCTAGGTGATCCCCACTTTAAGTTTACGTGGATTTATTGTACTTACGGATGACCTCAGTTATCATGGGATCACGCCTACATACATTTCATTCCCTTAAAGCACAATGCACAGAAGTCAATGGGGAAGTTTCAACATACAGTTATAAGAAGAGCCCATTTACGGTAGTAACTTAGAAATATGTACATTCCAGTGAATGAGTGCATATCAATGCAACGAGACTTGTACAAGTAATGTGTACAAGTAATGTGTACAAGTAATGTGTACAAGTAATGTGTACAAGATCAAGTACAAAATGTGCTCATGATCTACATGTACAGTACATATGCAGGCCATAAGATACACATGGGCCTGGTTTACGAACATGTGTTGTGCATTCCAATGAACGTGCACATGACAGGTGTAGCATGATGCAACCCTAATACATCTAATACAGGGTGTGTACCCTATTGTGAGGCATTCCTCACTGAGATGTACATTTGTAATGGCTGCGCAAATCATCGTCCATCATTAATGTGCACTAAATAGCAGAGTATTCTCAAAGTGGTACACAGCCAAGAGTGAGCTCTGGTCACAAGCGCCAGTAATTATACACACCAAATAATAACAGGGTCATCTGTTGTACTGTTAGTGGGGTATAGTGTTGTTGTATGTGTATACTCACAGCCATAGGCCGGCCAGCCATGAACCTCATGACTGAGGTAGCTCTGGTGGCTGCAAACGCTGCCACTGACGTCACTCCAAGACCACTCGCAAAAGAGGTGTACGTGCTGCTGACTCTCTGACGAACAGCTTCAGGCCAGAACCTGGGGGGGACAAACACACATCAACAACACATGAAACCTCTTTACTCATAACGTGTAGTATTAAGAATACGGCAGTTAATCTGATTGCTCAAGTAGAAAAAGTCCACTTAGAACGAGGAGGATCACCAAGTAAAATCCCCAGGGCCTTTGTACTACATAATCTGAAACGTTTTCTGTTTTGTGCACGCCACGATATAGACGACGGAGTCATGGAAACCACACGATACAGGAAGTCTCAAGCCCTGTAGTAGCGTCTTCGTTGTGCTCGGAACACGACGCCTCGGTCTTCTAATCTGCGCAGCTTCTTACGACTCGTCATCTTATGTAACTATTACATAACATCACTGTCCTTTCTCTTCCTTTTCTCCTCCCTCTCCCCTCTTACACGGAGTATGTGTACCTTGCTCTGTCGATGGCACCGGCCTCATTGGACAGTCCCAGTCCATAGAAACACAGACTCCCAACTCCAAATAGAGCACCGCCTCCCAGGATAGCACGGCCTATGTTATCCCCTGCAAATATCAGTGAGTGGACTCTATACTGAATACTGTATGTGCCTAACAGCCAGTGAAGAGAGCTATGAACCTTAGCTACATTCATCACTTTATTGCGTTGCATGTGAGCATTGGGGCATATAAAGTAAATTACAGCAGTGGGATAAATTATGTATCTGGAGTGGAGAGAACTCACCGCCGAACCTGGCCCTCAGTCCGCTGCCCTCGACAGGAACGGCCCTCACAGTTCTGACCTCCCCACTGGCCAGTCGCCTCCACAACCGCCCCACCATCTCCCTCCCTCCTCTTCCCACACCCAGCTGAGCTGGTCTGCACAGCGCCACCGCACTTTTGGAGATGGTAAATGCCAGCATTACTTCTCCGTTGCAGCACGCTAAAGGTTGATGCAATGGTTCTAAATAGTGCCCACCTCACCCCTGCACTTTGTTGTTACCTTGGATACGGAAAACAACAGCGTGCTCCAAGCCTGGCCAGCAAGGAGTGGAGTGTTCAGGTCTTGATCTCGCACTGAGCCTCGCGCAAGGATGTCTCACTGGTAAGAGTATTAACATTCGTGCACAACTGGACCTATGGCTGACCGCGAACTCCCCGTTTTGAAGGCTGTACAACCACCAGTGGCACTCTGCTCAGCAGGGTATTGGAGATCTACTACTGGAACATGAGCTCCCACAACAACCTCCGAAACCTGAAAAGGTTGACGAAGAGTTCTGAATGCATGAAACACACAAGCACTGTCTTTGATGGCCTGCTCAATAACACACACTTTGTTTTACTCTGAAACCTCACTTGCCATGGAGGCCTCATTATGGCTCAGATGCTACCACAGTAAATGTGTGCCTGAAATTCCTGATAGCCTACTGGGAATGTGACTCACCCCGGTCATGTCTATTTGGCACGCACAGGACAAGGTGGTAGCCTTCAACAAGGTGGCCACCATGTACATCAGGTATACCCTGGTCTTCCGAAAGCTGGAGGAGTGCTACGATCAGATGGTGCATCCGCAGAAACGCAGACTCATTAGACACATGCTTGATGGAACCATTGGAAGGTGCAACTCTTTTTATTATGTAGTAGAATGGGTTCATTCCCCATCCGAGCCTTTGATGCATATAGATGACATCTTGCTATTTGCTTGCCGGTTTGTGTCCCTCAGGATACTGGAGATGAAGCAGGAGCTGTTCAGTTTGGAGCTACTGGAGTACAGCTACTTTGATGACCTTCTGACTGACATGAAACTTACTCCAGTGAGTAGATCTGTACACACATACGGGTTGTGAGAGATGGGGGTGAAAGTTAGGCATCCTCTAGCATGAAGAGCCAAGTTATTTTTATGATAATAGAGGGTGTTAGACAGTAGGATGGAGCAACACACTCTCTCCCAACCCTTTGCTTCTCCTTTGCTCCTGCTTGTCGTGGGTTAAAGGGGCACAACAAAAAACCTTTCGATAGAAACAAAAGGGATGAAATTCTCATTCAAAGCAGTTGCAACTTCACAAGACTCGACTGGATTGAGGTTTCCAGTCTCCAGTGTGATACAGGTCTTGTTTTGTCCACAGGCAGATGTGGAGCTGCCCATCCCGCGCTACTTTCTGAGCGAGAATGCCAAGGTTCTGAAGGAGAGAGAAAAGCTGCTGGGGTCCATCCTGGCTCAAATGGAAGCTCAGAATGACACCAAGGTGAGTGTCTGTGTGTAGGCAGGAGGGTGGGAGGGATAGCATGTTCATGGAAAGACTGTAGCAAAGTGTATTGTACATATGCTCGGCATACATGTATGCTTGGCATTAGCAAAAGATGTTCACCTTGTCCTTGCTAGTGCATTGTCATGCTCGTACTTCATACTTTGCTGTACATACAATATTATGTTGAATGCATCAGTGCAGTTGATCCCCATTCATGACGCACGATTTTATGTGTGTACATGTGCTATTGTAGTGTTTTGATGCGTGCTCCCCTCATGTACATACGTTTGATTCTCTAGCCAGAAGAAGAGGTTACAATGACAACAGAGGAAGCTATCCAACTCATTCAAGTAATCTACATACGTACTTTAGCTTTAATGGCACATTACATTGAGTGAATGTACACATACACAGGTTCATGAGAGGGCTCGCCAAGGTCAACTTAGGGCAAGGTTCATGAAGGATATAAAGTGAGCACCTACGTATGTAGTATGCACACATTGGACAAATCTCCATTACCTGCTCATACATGTATATACATACATACATATGGTACACATCATTTTCCATCCTCACTCTCCCCTTGTTGCTCACACGATTGCAAAGACCTGTACGTAATTAATAACAGATCGAGTGTCAAAAATGGCTTTTGACCAGTTTGTCCTAGAGTTATTGTCCATCCTTCTCCCTCTCCTCTCCCTCCCTCTCTTTACCGCCTACCCCTTTCCTCTCCTCCCCCCTTCCTCCCCCCCCCTCTCCTGCCCTCACCCATCTCCTCCCTGTCCCCCAGACTCCAGGCAGAGAGAGACAAACAGTCAGAGCTGAGAGGTCACCCTAAACTGGACAAGACCATGGCTGCCACCATCATTCAGAAGGTGTGTGTCCTCAGATTTGCTTCACACAGTACTCGGTTATACAGCATCGCACGTGTTGTTTCGGGTGTTCTAGCAGAGTTGTTGATGTGTGCCTTTGTCTTGTGTGTTGTAGCCCCTGGCTGTTGAGCTAGTATGTACATACCTGGTAACTCAGTTTGTGGGTGGAGCACTCTGCCTAGATTACAGAGTGATGTGGGTTCAAATCCCACCCACCCACGGCAGCTCTTTAAAAAGGTTGTCCTGGGTTTTCCATTGCTGTGTTGTTTGCCTTTGCTTTGGCCTGCGACCTCATTGCTGTTTACATGAACATGACTATGTATGTGCATCTGAAACTGTCCATGGTGAAGTACAGTATGAGTCACAACATAGGACCCAGAGGCACTAGTATTGAACTCTCCGTGTCTGTGTTGTTAGATGTGGAGAGGGTTCTCCCAGAGAAGAGCGGTGGAAGCCATGAGAGCTGAAGAACTCGTCTTCCTTGGAATGGTATACACCTGTCCAACTGCCTTTTTACTGTCATCTTCTGTTTTTGGATGCTTTGAGTACTGTATTATGCATTGCATAGGCACTGCCTGTTGTCAAATCTCAGAGGCACACGGCAGCTTACCTGGCCAGGAAGACTGAGGTGAGTCTACAGTGCAGTCTGTCTGTTTACTCTAGGGATGTTAGAAGTGGTACATCTTTATTGCTGGATGTATCATATGTACATATGTACATATGTATCCAGGAGAAGAGGCATGGAACTCAAGAACAGTATGAGAAGGAGTATATCGAGGTAATACAAGTATATGTACATGATTTGGGTGCAATAGCTTCTAAATATTAAGGGGCCTATCAAATCTGATTGACAGCATGTGTGTAAAGCAGGATTTGTATGAAGGGAGAAACTTTTAGTGGTTCAGTGCTAAACTGGAGTTGGTGGCACTGATTGCTTGCTTGCTTGTTTGTCAGTTTACAGTGACACTACACGGTGTCTGTTATGACCAGAAGCAAATAATATGATCACTCAGGCTCTGGACACAGTGAAGCAGAGACTGGAGGAGACCGAGGGACCGGACGTGAAGGAACAGATGCAAGACCAAATCAGACAGTGGTTTATCGAGACCAGGTGCACCATGTGTGTGTGTGTGTGTTTTAACTAAATACGGACGTAATTCGAAAATGTCAAGCACGTTTCCACTCCATAAAACCACGCCAAGAGCGAGAATTGGCCATTATTAGCAACAGCCAACACCACAAAATCGAAAAATGGGGGAGTGCAACACACAAAGTAGCTTCTGGTACACGTGTGTGCATTGAGCATGTTCAGTAGCTATTAGAATAACCATGGAATGCTGTGATTGGAGCTGTTCATTGGCCTGCAGGGATGCCACGGGCAAGTTTCCCGACTATCCAGATGAGGAGGAGGGAGGTTCAGAGGCCATCTTCAAGAAGAGAGAGGAGCTAGTGAGTCTTTTAACAATAGAACCACTCGTAGCGGTTCTAGTTTTAAGAGGTGTCCAATGTTCTAAATGTGTTTCTACTTTCTTTTTACCGATGCATTGTTTCCCCCTCCACAGAAAGCAGATGATAATGAGGTAATGTACAATACTGTGATTCTCTGGCCAGTGTGTATGTGCTTGCTTTTGTTCACACGATCATTATCAGGAAGGTAAAGGAAAGAAAGGAAAAGGCAAGAAAGGAAAAGACAAGAAAGAAAAAGGAAAAAAGGGCAAGAAAGGAAAGAAAGGGAAAAAAGGAGACGAAGTGAGAAAAAGTGCACTGCCCGGGAATCGAACCCGGGTCGCAAGAATGGGAATCTTGCATGATACCACTACACCAGCAGTGCTTCTGTGAGGTAGTGTGAGAGAAATTTACTGTGCATTCTCTAGGAAGAGGAATCGGGATTTGTGTTGGCTCCATCTAATTTCGTCCCTACTCTAAACGATTCGTCACTAAACTATGCCAGTAAGTCCTTGTATGGTATTACATACAGCTCATCTATTGAGGCTATTCATTTCAATAGGTACGTGGCAAGATCGAGATGAGTCTGTTAATCTGCTGCAGAAACATGATGTTGAGCTTATCAAAGATGCCAAGAGGTGGGCATAGGGCAAAGTCCATGTTAAAATTTGCGGTGTTTACAAACGCACCATGAAAACATTGGTGCATAGAGCACAGACAATGAATATGCTTAATGACTACTTTCGTTCCAGTGTGTTGAAAAGGAATTTCACTTTGTAACTTTCGTGGGTTGGTTGTTAATGATCCATGCCCAACAATAATGCTCCACGGATACTCAAACCTCGAAAAGTGTTTCTCTCCATTGTCTTCTACTCTTACGGTGTACATTTTTGTTGTATATACAAATGCAGGGTAGAGATTGAGGCAGAGATAAGGAAACAGGTCGATGAGCTAATGAGAGAGGAGCTCAAGAACCTCAAGTTGGTAAGAATCTCTCGCTATGTATTTCTGTCTGTCACCTGAAGATTGGAAGCAATGTGTGTAGTAACTGCTCTGATTGCAGGCTATTGAAAAAGACAAAGGGAAGGGTAAGAAAGGGAAGAAAGGGAAGAAGGGTAAAAAAGGAGTAAGTTACGAGGCTCTGTCCAAAATAGCCATGCTATGAAAATGGTGTACTCTGTAGAAGAAAGGTAAAAAGGGCAAGAAAGGCAAGAAAGAAAAAGATCTGACTCCAGACAGGTCGGCATACTATCGTGTCCCTTTCACTTTGTGTCATCCAAGGATATGCTTCATCCTGCTACTGTGTTTACTGTAAACACAGGTCCATAGAGGATCTATACACTGAGCTGGTGAGAGAAGGGATCATCGTCAAATGTCCCAAAACTCGTCTCTCTGAATATGTGGGAGAGTACAGGTACATACAGTGTGGCTTGTGTGCACACACTGTCCAGCAGGTTTTACTGATACACGTATATTGATCAGTTTCCTGGCTACTACACTGCGGAGATCAGGGATTGAGCCCATGCCTTCAGTGTATGACGTGAAGAGACTGGTGACTGAGCACTGCATTCTACCCATGGGTCAGGAAGTTCTCTTAGACATTGGCATTCAGAGTGACCTGTCCCCTTAGCGTGTACTGTACAGTCCCTTGCTGTTAATGTGCGTAGTATCTGTCTAGTGCAATATTTACCCTATATCTGATGCTGTCACTATACCGGAATGATACTTGAATTTCTCACTCACAATCTAACGGTCCTTTCAGAGTGACCTGTCCCCTTAGCGTGTACTTGTACAGTCCCTTGCTGTTAATGTGCGTAGTATCTGTCTAGTGCAAGATTTACCCTATATCTGATGCTGTCACTATACCGGAATGATACTTGAATTTCTCACTCACGATCTAACGGTCCTTTACCGCTAATTGGTCAGATGCTTGCCAATAATTAGTTATTTAATGTGAATTATGTGCAACTTCTGCCTTTGTCCCACCTACATACACATACTGTACATCAGGGTCCCAAGCAGTACACGAGAAGGCCCCTCACATCCCGTCGCTAATGATCACTGGTCCCCGTGGAGTAGGGAAGAAGATGCTGTTGCAGGCAGTCTGTACTGAGGTGGGGGCCAATCTGTTTGACCTGACTCCTGCCAACATTGCTGACCGCTACCCCGGCAAAGCCGGCCTCAACATGCTGCTTCACATGGTCTTCAAGGTGCAAGCTGCCATACACTTCTCTAACACTATGACAGTGACCTCAGAGCCCAAGATGTGGGCAGTGGATGCTACACTCACAAATAGTCGTTTCTCACTGCAAATCTAAAGAATTTACCACCATTGTTAAAGTCCTACCCACAAAATTAACACATGCGTACTGCTATAGCAAAACTTCTAATGTCCCTACCAAAGCATAAACACGTGAATAACAGATTTTTGAGTTTTTCAATACATTTTGGAGCTTTGTCTCCATGTCCTATAGTTTTTCAGTCCAACTCAGTATCTCCACAAAATAATTATGCAGATACATAATACGTCAAAGAAATGTCTCCCAGCCTAGACATTCGTAGTGGTTAGCTCTCCCTTAAAGAGGTTTTCCACTTGTTGTGGTGTTGGGGACATTCCAAGACTCTCTAAGTCATTCATTACAACGGTATCATCGTACTGTTATAAACCCGGGGAGTTTCCAACGTGAGGGAATGTTTGGTCATCATTAAGATAATGAGGGTTAATAGTGGTTGCTAAGGATGTAGCAGTACCTAATTTCCTGATGATTAAAGAATGGTAAGTGGGAAAAGTTGTAGAAGGGGGCAGTCGCAATAAGATCATTTCCTGCAAAACAACCTGGCACGCTCTGTGTATTATTATTGGCATGCAAAGTGAACATACAGGGTAGTACCTAGTGAGGGATTTTCTAATTGGCCAGTAATGCATGTGGGGAGAGTTGGCTAGCCATGAAAGACTCTTTAACCCCCCACCCCAGTTCTCAAGACTGGGCACCCAGTGTCCTGCTCTCATGTCATGTCATGTGTATTTGTGTATGTGTTTTGTATGGATACTTTGGGATTTGTGGATATACGTATGTATGTTGGTGGTGGTTTTTATTTATTTATTTCTCTATCTAAACTATCTATCTATATACCTATGGCTGGTATGCTATGAACTGTGGGAGTGTGTGTGTGTGTGTGTGTGCTATTAGTGTCTGTTTCGCAGGTGGGGAAGGCTTGGGCTCCATCAGTGGTCTTCATTGGCGACTGTGAGAAGACTTGGATGAAGAAGGTGCCCAAAACTGACAAGGTGAAGTTATCTCCAATCTTTCACTAAGACCCCGCAAACACAACCAAGACATGCTCCACTCATCAATGACACACACACACACACACACACACACACACGCACACACACACACCAGTAATCAGCAATAGCATGTGACTAGTTTTGGTACATATGTATGTCTATCCAGAGTGACCCCAAGAGGGTAAAGAAGGCACTGCCCAAGATCCTCAAGACCTTGAAGCCAGAACACAGAGTTCAGATCATCGGAGTCAGCTCGGCTCCATTCGGTGAGGGGCACAGCCCATCTCCCTACTCTTTCCTCACCTAATGTTCCCAAACAGATGCAGAGGTAAAGGGACTGTGTGTGATGTACCAGAGAATAGTAATGGTTCCAAGACCTGACTATGCTTCCAGATACGGTGTGTGGTAATTCACATATTGCATGATGCTCTATGATAGAAAAGCTCCATAATACGCTTGCATGCGTACGTACGTTAATAATACAGTGCTCCAAGCTATGACAGTGGAAAGTGCAGTTTTTGAAACTGCACTTTCTACTGTCTTAGCTTGGAGCACTGTAGTTCATTATGCTATATACAACTTTTAACTTTTTTAAATGAAGTCAGTCATATAGTTGCTGACAGCGATGTAGTTTTCATGCACTGTGCCACGAATTATGCATTTTGTACATTACATGTAAGTATAGTGTGCCCACTGCCTCGTACACAGTGATGTGGAGGGCCATGATAGAGTGGGTGGGTGGGGCCGGCTCCATCAGTGGGGCCCTGGACCTCAGCTCCCTGGCCAAGATCAGTGACGGCTACTCGGCCGGCCACATCGACAAGGCTGTCACCTCTGTTCTCTCAGAGAGAAGAGTTCAACAGGTCAGAGTCCTCCTGTGCTATGTATATGCGACACACTTGCTGCTACGTATTTAACAACTAGTTTATCATACACCTGGTCCGGCCGAATAATTGTTCGATGCATAATATGTACACATGAGGCCCAGCGACTCGGACATGCACAATGCATCACTAATATGCAACAATTTATAATGTTGTACGGGGAAGAAGATAAACATAAAGTCACATTGGCTCGGGTTTACAAAAACCTGCTTACCTGCACTGTGCCACTTAGGCCTTGCGTAATTCTGCCCCAAGAGTGTAATAATTATATACCAGGAGCACTAATTTATTATTCGAAGGCTCACCTGCTCCTGTTAGCTCGTATAATACATTATGCATCCATGCAACTGCACTACAGTTGTATCAACATGTTTTCCGTGTTTAAAACCCTTTGGACGCCATGGGGATCTGCTTAAATAAGCAGAAATTGATGTATAAAGTATTAGCGCCTAGTATTATAACCCCATATAAATTCTTATGGGCTTATGGAGGAGGCCCTGGACACATTTATGTGTCCGCGGCTGGTTAAGTGTTAACTGATTCGACACGGTACTGTGGATTATTATGCAGTTGCGTCGTAAGCCGTTGACGGCCTCTGAGTTCCTAGCACCTCTCTCCAAGATGGATCCCATCTATGCAGAAATAGAAGATGGATTCAAGGTAAAGTGACATAATGTACGTAAGAGAGGGAGAGATCAGGGAAGTTATGTACGAGGAAGGAGAAGAAAGGGGTGGGAGCAGGAGATATGGCATTGATAAATTAATGCAGTTGTGTTATTGGTGTTGCAGAACTGGTTTGGGAAGACTCCACTGGGTAAGAAGAGGAGTAAGGCAGTTCAGGGAGGTGATGCAGACGCTGGGGCCAAGAAGGCCAAGAAAGGGAAGAAGGGAAAGAAATAACTCACACACCATATCACCATGCATTCTACATTCTTCACAACAATAAGTTATTGTGCAAATTTTAGGACTAAGGAAGCAGTTTGATTTTCTCGCGTATTTACAATCATACTGTAAAGTATGTGGCAGTGGCATAATTATCATTCAGACGACAAGGTTGGCTCACTTTACTCACTGATGATGAAGTGATCGATGCCAAGAGGATAAGTGATCGTGGTTTCTAAGTGGCCGCGAGAAATGCTCCAGTGAACAATACTGCAAGCAACAGCCTCATTTCCTGGAATGACCTCCTACTATGGTGTTATCAGCGACGACACTTGTTCTTCCAACCTGTTTTATATCACCACTACATTAATTTGAGATTTTCCCTCTTGTTAATTATTATTTATTTTGTGAGGTGGAGTTGTGATTCTTGCTTTATTGTTGAAGGCTGGGTTCACAATACGTCACATTGCCCCTGTCGCATATATAGCGCTTTGTCGCGTCCTGCTGCGAAGATCGAAATAATGTTTTACAATATCCTCACAACGTGGCAAAGCATGACGGGGCAATGGGAGATACACTTGGACAACCAAACGACAGTTAGAAACTAGGGGTATATGCTTTTGTTCCTCAATAAATCATAACTTTTGATAAAGCCTGTCATGTCTTTCTTCACCAACACACAATGTACATTGTAGAGTGCTCGCCTAGACTGCAGAGTGTCGTGGGTTCGAATCCCACCCAGGGCAGCTCTTCTTTTCTTTGAAAAGAAAGGGCTGTCTTGGGTGTATATAGTTGACTTGTTTGTCTTTGCCTTTCAACCAAATAACCAAGTTGTTGAGACATGTACTATATACTTTAGATTTTCTTCCTCAGTGAACTGAGACAATTACATTAAAATACGTGGTTCAATGTAGTTTTAGAATGTCTTTATACGTCATACTTTGTGCAAGCTACCACTTCTCTACCACTGTGAAAGTGTTCCTTGACTCTCGAAGAGACCCATCAAGGAACCGATTAGTCATTATATTATGCATTGCCTTGGATGGGTATAAGGTGGGCACCATTTGAAATACTTTGCGGTTTCAGAAAATACAGCGAAAGCTCTATCTGGAAAGTTATGGGCAGGTTTCCAGGTACACTAGTCTACTGTAACTGTTATATTAGTCCACACTTTACTAGTTTTCCTGATACACTAAGTCCACTCTGCCAGTTTTTCCTGTTACACTAGTCCACTCTGCCAGTTTTTCCAGGTACACTAGTCCACTGTACACGTTTTTCCAGGTCCACTGTACAAGGTACTAGCTCTAATCCACTGTACAGGTTTTTATTGGTAGACTAGTCAACTATACCCCACTCTACCAGGTAGACTAGTCCCATGATGCACAAGCCCATTGTACAAGGTTCAATAATACACTGTACTGTTATATTAGTCAACTGCACTTGTTTTTCCAAGTAAACCAGTCCGCTGTAGCAGTTTTGTTGTAAATGAATTCACTTGACCAGTTTTAAAAATAATGTATTACAAAATTCAACTACTCTTCATTATGATTTCTTCACAATTAACAGTATTGTTAATCCGGTTTAGGAAGCAGTTTGAGACTGAGTTTGCTCTCAGAATCCCCAGTAGCGTCTCCCAGACAGTACTCTTACTGTCTAGTGAGTTACTCTGGTACAACTCAGTCAGCCAACAGCCTGGGTGTGTATCCCAATTGCAATTGTTTCGACAAGGATCCACATTAATGGAGTAGAGGCAGTGTTGTGAGATGGAGGAAATGCTGCTGCAGTTGATAGAGGAGCTTGCTTCAGCCTGTATGTAGAATAATGCAGGGAAGTGTAATTAATGGGGTCTTCCTCATTAATCTTCAAGAATACACACTCACAGTATATTCACAGGTGTCTATTAGGAGTTTCTCAGCAATCATCACTAGTAGAGTGAGGTTTGTGTGCAGGGAATCGTTTTCCCTCTGGTACTGTAGTGTCACAGAGAGACGGCTGTACTCACTTAGAGCGGCACACACATTATAATTGGTGCTGTTTAATCCCTGCAGATTGTTATAATCCACACTCACCAAACACCATGATTATACACTATGTACGTACCTCCAGAGATTCGTAAGCCTCTAATAGAATATCGTTGCCCTTCTGTGCAAGTCTGTTTCTGTCAACACGGTCACAGGTACTCCTCTCTACTCTACAGGTACTCCTCTTGACTGGAGCGCCGTTGCATGTCAGCCCCACCATCACTAGCAGTAGAGCAACAATAGCTGCTTTTCCTACAGCACTGCTTCTGTAGTTCATTTTGATTGCCAGGTAATTGGAGATTACAATTTTGGTGTAGGTTTTCTGATGGAGTCTGTCTCATTTTCTTTTGTATTTATATACAATACCCCTAAATGAGAACTAAATGCAAAGATACTCTGTTTAAATTTGTATGTGGACTCTCAGATGCAACAACACACATTTAATTAGCCTCGGAAGGGTTGCCTAGAGACAGCGACATAATTGAACTGTTATGCATACTTGAATTTCCCGGAAAGTCTTGTTCACATTTAGCATTAGGTAATTGCTTCACAAAATTTATGATTATGTTCCTGCTACCTGTCCAGGTTAGATTGAGAGAGCATGTTGGATAAACAGCGGGAATGAACTCTGATTAGCTGCTGTAGGGTGGGTGTGTTTTGATATTGTATATACTTACCTTATCCCACTCCAATTCACTGACAAGTTTCTGTGCCATTTTACAGTGTGTTATGGGGTTTGCCTTTGCCTTGTGTTGTGCTGATTACTGCTGAGTTGCCCTGGTAGACCTCAGTCGGTTGATGGATCTGCTTTGACTGCAGAGTGTCATGGGCTTCAGTCCCACTCTGGGTGCAATTAATTTGCAGTATTACAGACAACTTGAAATGACACTCTGTGAATCATGCAACACCAACAGACCAATAGACATGAGAAACACTTGTCCTGAGTTGAACAGAGAATGGTGTATTGTAGTGACTACAAGTTAGTGTTAGTAATGCAACTTCAAGGGAAATGATTGTGTGGCTGACCCTGTTACAATGGCATTAACCACTGGCAGCAGAGCACCACATTGAAGGTGGTGTCTCTCGTTCTCTCATCTGCTTGGGCAGATTGTAGCATTATTTACAGATTAGCTACTACCTTCTATCAAGTAGACACAAATACTTGTTTGATACATGAGAGTCCACATACAAATTATCCCTTTGAGCAATGTGCAGTGTATGAATTTATGAGTAACGCTCTGATGATGCAAGTGAATCGGGAATGCTAATTGCAATCCGAACAACTGCTGGGCAACACCAATGTACAATTGTTCCGATAGAATGTAAGCCTGCTGCCTGGACTCTACCTAATGTTCACTTCTTGAGAATAAGTAGCTGGAGTAGAACCCCACTTGTTCCCATAGAAAATGCTGCAAGGAAATTCCATTAAAGTCGCAGTGCAGTGAACCTGATAAGTGGGTTTGTCCACTCTTCATTGGGTTAGGACTTCACCTCTGGTGTTATAGACAGCGTCCCTTTTTCAGGAACAGTTACATAATATAGTAACAGTGTCAATTACACGATACATGGCATATCTAATTGATATCACAATAACAACTCTCTGGTGGTATCTAGGCGATCTGTTAAAAATGTGCAGAGTGTTTGTGTGTGCTACTGGACACACATTGCCACATGTTCACACTGACTGCTGGTGTGTGGGTGTGTATCTACATCGGATTAGACTGTTAGTGGTGATGCCACTGATCATAAGTGGAGGTGGGAATTGAATTCTCTAGTGGGAAGTGTAATTGTATGCCGACAACCGGCAGTCTCATGAATGCTAATACACATTCTTTAAATAATTCTAATTTCCCTCCATTTTTTGTCTTCCCCTCATTATTAGATTTCCCCTGTTCACAGGCACTCATCAATTATGTGTATGGTGTCAGTGGGATGTTGTGATAAAGTATTGATGAACACTGTGAAAAAATACCTGCAAAATCACTTTGAGATCCGACTAACCGCTAGCAACAGTTACAGATGAAATTTATTGTTCACACTTCACTGCACTAGTAGCTATATACAAGTGTGAGTCATTGTTTACTCATCGGGGAAAAGTGGTTGCGTGGATTTTGTCTTCTTCACAACATCAATAGCTGCACTACATTAAGTAATGTCTGACATGGGAGAAGATTAATAATTTTACACTGTTGGTAACAGATAATTTGTTGTGCATGCACATTTTTAACAGATCGCCTAGATACCACCAGAGAGTTGTTACTGTGTAATCAATTACATATGCCATGTATCGTGTAATTGATACTGTCACGATATGCATGAGTTAGATAACTGTCGGGCAAAACTTGGAAAGTGAACAGTGTAAAATTTTGCAAATCCCTGAAACAGGGACGTTGTCTATAACACCAGAGGTGAAGTCCTAACCCAATGAAGAGTGGACAAATCCACTTATCAGGTCCACTGCACTGTGACTTTAATGGCATTCCTACAAATTATTACAATTACAAATTTCTGCATAAATGGTCATTAAGGAAATTAGCCAAGTAGCTAAGTATGTAGCCAGGCATGGGAACAAGTGAGACTTGCTCCAGCTATGCACTTGTTCCAGAATGAATTAGACATGTGTGTAACCAGGCAGCAGGTTTGCAGCATTTTCTATGGGAACAAGTGGGGTTCTACTCCAGCTACTTATTCTCAAGAAGTGAACATTAGGTAGAGTCCAGGCAGCAGGCTTACATTCTATCAGGACAGTTGTCCATTGGTGTTGCCCAGCAGTTGTTATTGTTGTTCTAGGATGGCATTATAGTACACTCTTGATTATCATTCCTTTCACTTGCATCATCAGAGCATTAGGTACTTTTCTCATGCTGAAAGTGTGCTTAGCAAAGAAATGGTTATCGGTATAATACACCTTATAGTGAAGGGTGGTCTGTCAATAGTCGACAATGGCTGTGACCAATCAGTTTGTTCAAGCAGATGAGAGAGCAAGAGGAGAGAGCAGGAGAACCCAACTTTCATGTTGTTGTAGTAACCTCTGATTCTTAAGTACACAATTATTATACACGACTTTTTCTTCCATCTCTGAAAGGATATTTTGTGTGTACACTAATGCACGAGATATTATTTATAGAAGAGCTAAACTGTGTGTATATGCTTGGATTGGCAACACCTTCCTGCTGAGATCAGCTATAGCTATAGATATGAAGCTACTCTAGGACACAAACAGCTTACGTGACTGTCTAGTTGGATGTTGCATCTGTGCATTTACCACAGGTTGTCATGCAATACTATAGCTAAGAGTGTATAAACTACTCCCAGGTTCAAACAAACAAGAGCTAGCTGCCCTGAGCTGAGTGGGACCCACGACACTCTGCAGAAACTCAATGAACTAACAGGGCAACTCAGCAGCTAATAATACGAAAGATCAGAGTGGGGTAAGATATAACACACCTAGTATGCAGATGGAGGAAACAGTGACACCATCATTATCACTCAACTGGAGGTGCCAACTTTCCATCCTCACTCAGTTTTGAACTGCAACGTAAGGCAATTGCCTAATGCTAATCATAATTTCTGAGACGAGTTCATTCCAAAGAATTAAGTATGCATAACAGTTCAATTATGTCGCCGTCTCTAGGGCAACCCTTCCGAGGCTCATTGTCATTTCTCAATCTTCTTGCCATAGGTTCTCATTTAGTGGTATAAAAGCAGAGAAAATGAAACAGACTCCATCAGAAAACCTGCAACCACATTGCTCCACTGGTAGTAGTGATCTTTTTCCCAAGCACTTACAATCAAAATGAACTGCAGAAGTAGTGCTATTGGAAAAGCAGCCATTGTTGCTCTACTGCTAGTGATGGTGGGACTGTCATGCAAGGGTGCTCCAGTCAAGAGGAGTAGTACTGACAGAAACATCATTCTACAGATTAGCAAGTACTTTCTAACAATGGGTTACAACGCTTTAGAGGTATGTAAAAGAGAAGCATATAATTATAGTAGTGTATGGTGACTGTGAATTATAACACTCTGTGCAGGGATTTAACAGGACCAATCCTTCAGTGTGTGCACTGTTTGAGGAATACAGCCGTCTCTCTGTAACACTACAGTACCAGAGGGAAAATGATTCCCTGCACACAAACCTCACTCTACTGGTGATGATTGCTGAGAAGCTCCTAATAGACACCTGTGAATATACTGTGAGTGTGTATTCTTGATGATTAGTGAGAGGAAGACCCCATTAATTACACTTCCCTGCATTATTCTACATACAGGCTGAAGCAATCTCCTCTATCAACTGCAGCAGCATTGCCTCCATCTCACAACACTGCCTCTACTCCACAAGTATTGATGAGACCGAACTTTGTGGCACAGGGTGCAATTTTGCCGCACACCCGGCAGGTTGGCTGACTGAGTTTTACCGCAGTAACTCACTAGACAGCAACAGCACTGCTTTGGAAACTCTCCTGGGGATTCTGACCCGAAACTCATACTCAAACTGCTCCCTAAACGAGATGACCAGCACATTCAACTGCGTAGAAATTGTTTACTATTAGAGAATGTTGGAAGACTGAATATTTTAATTAAGAGATCCGAATATCTATAATATTTTTCTGAAACTGCATGTGAAAAAGGAGAAGTCCTGCAACACGAAGAGATAATATATTGATGGCCCAAACGAGCCATCATAAGCAATGCGTACTCATGCCCGTGCGGAAAGAAACAGGGCAGCAAGAGGCAGAGTTGGCCCCACGTTTAGGATAAGCAGTACAGGTGCTCCGTTGCAAAGCTAGAGCGCTTCCAGCATTGTACGGCTAATGCCCATTTTATCGCTGGCGGATAATGCGCATTCGCTTATATTTAGCACAGGCTTACCTCGACCGGGTCCGCTTGCTCTGTCTATCTTGAAGGCACAAGAAGTCATAACGAAATCTACAACTGTAGCTAGCCCGTGTCAGACTCTCTGCGAGCTACTTCGCCGAGGGTTTGCACCTTAGTGCTTTTCATTTTCCCTGTGG